CTCTGTTATCATTCAGAGATTATTTTTTGATTTGTTTGATTTCTTTCATCTAAAGATACTTTTTTGAATTTATCTTTTTTCATTTCCCCAATTTTCTCTTTCTAAATATCTTTATATTACTCAATTTTCTGAATATAAAATTACTTAATTTTAATTTAGATGACATTCTACCCTTAATTTCTTTTTTTATGTGTTTAGTATAGGGTATATGGGGTCTCACTACACAGATCGGACTCCTAGTGATCCTCCTGTTTCAGCCTCCCAAATGCTGGGATTACAGGTGCGTGCCGCCACGTTCAATCACAATAGCCATCTCAGCATGCCCGAGGGGTGGGGCCGGCGAGGCACACCAGGGATCAAACTCTGGTCCCTTCGTCTGCTTAAGCAAGGGTGTTAGTCTGCTGAGCTCTCTGGCCATCCCTTACATAATACCTTTAATTTCAATCCTTCTAAAAATATAGAGTCTTACTAGGCAACTGAACAGTGATATATTTTTGTGAATGGTCTATGTATCCCTGAAGAAATTTTGCTTGTAGTTCTCTGTGTGTATGAACAATTTGATAATGTTGCGTTGTTGTATTTACTGGTCTTTATCTGGTTTGGCAATAGTTACTAGACAGGTGTTAAAACTATATAATTGTGAAATTCTCTAGGTCTCTTTTTAACTTTGTTCCTTTTTGCCAGATCTATTTTGACAGTCTACTGGAATGATCAGTAGGTTTTCCTGGAAGGTTCAGGCTCTGCTCATCATAAAATGCTTCTTTTATCTCTGGCAATACTCAACAATTTAATGCCTATTTTTACATCTGATTTTACTGCAGATTCGCACCACTCATATATTTATTGTTTATGTCATATATCTTATTTTTTCTGTTTACTCTACTTTCCTATGTCTTTGTATTTAAAGTATGTTTCTTACAGGAATCACGAGAAGAAGCTGTGATTTCAATCTGCTCCAGTAACATCTGTGTTTATTTTTTAAAAATTAATTTTATTGAGAAAGAAATAGCAATGAAACAGTTTCAAAACAGATTAGTAGGACAGTTGCAACAATTAATACATTGCATATTGTTGTCTTCATAGTAGTTACTCATAGTACAAGATACAGACATGATAT